TTTTTCTGAAAGCCCTTTTAGACTTTGCAGTGTAAGGGAGGGACCGAGTCAGTTCTGTGTTTTAAGGAGCTCTTTCTGGCAGACGAGAAGTAATTAAGAGTGTAGACTCCAGACTGCAGCCATCAGGGTTCAAATCCTAGCTGTGATACTGAATTCGTTACGGTAGGCTAAATTACAGTAACAAATAGACCAAGAAGTATGTAACGGCTCACACAGTAGAAGGCTGGGTTTTTTGTTTGTTTGTTTTGTTTGTTTGTTTCCTGGATTATGTGGTAGTCCCAGGAGAATTTGGGGGCAGAGCATGTGACATTTCCTCCATATTGCGACTCAGCTATAATGTAAAAATCAGGGTGAGAAATAGCAGATTAAAATTTTGCCTACCTTCCTGGGGTAGAATCATGCCACGCCTACTGCAAGGAAGGCTGGAAAATACACTCTTAGCTATATTTTTAGATATTTCTTCTGTTAGGCCATCCAGTAGAATTCCGCAATGGTAGAAATGTTTTATATCTGTGTGTTTACTACAATAGCTGCTAGCCATATATTGCTAATAGAACACTTGGAATAAGGCTACTAAAACTGAGATTAAATGACATTGACTTGTAATTCAACAGCCACATGTGGCTAGTGGCTCCGGTGTTGGACAGTGCAGAAGGGAGGAGGAACATGGGCAAGTGGGCAGTAATCTCCGAGGACTCATGATAGGTTATTGATGATCGAGCAGCTGGCTTGTATTCTCACTTCCATCAGTGGATAAGGAAGGTATAGGGAGAGAATGCATCTCTCCAGACTGTGGGAGGATGGAGCTCATTCCGTCAAAGCACTGTGGTGAGTGCTCAGCCCCCGTCACACTATCTCCCTATGGCCTGAAGGCAGGGATAGAACGTAGCAAAGAGGGTGAATCCCTGCCCTCTACATATTTCTATCTGCTTCAGCTGAGCTTTACCACTTCCCTCCAAAATGTTCCTCTCCTCTGAAGTGTGCTCTTCGAACCTGGTTCAGATACCCCACTTCCACACAGTCCCCTAGGTGTGGTCTCTCCAGGTGTGGGACAGCCCTGATGCTTTGTCTAACTCTCCAGGACCTGTGGTGTTGTACCGAGGGGTCTCGTCTTGTCTCGTGCATTTGTCTAGACAGGTGTGCTTTTTCTCCATCTCTGCCCAGCAGAATTCTTTGTGCATTTTGGGGACGTTTGGCCACACATGCCTACTGCATTGAGTTGAGTTCATCGGGTGCAGAGAGGGTTGCAAAGACAGGCCTGGTCAGCTAAAGCCAGATGCCATCTGCATGGCACCAAACAAAGCTAGAGTTTGGCAACCTTTCGGGTCACTAAATCTATGTGGATGTCCCACTGTGGCCACCTCACTGGTAAGGAGTTTGCAGAGTTCTCTGGGACATTTGTACAATTTTTCTTCTCCCACATTTCTCTGTAAAAATAGCTGTCTAGTTCTCATGCCTTCAACCACACGCCGTTTCCCACTGTCTGTCTACCCCTGGCAAAGTTCCTGACCAGACACTGCCAAGGAGAACTGGAACCACTCACTTTGGCAGCCTGGACATGGGTCCAATGAACTGTAGAAGTGCCCCATGAGAACAAAGCCACACAGGGCACCTCCCATGGTCTCTGCGGCTCAGGGCAACCCTGACTGTCACTCCAAACTATCTTGTGTCATTTTGACAACAACCTAAAACACAGCTCAAGAATATATATCAAAATACCCTGGAAACCCCATGAGTTCACTGATTTTTAAAAGTTTTTTTTATTAATAAGCTTGTTTAGAGCTTTTCAATTATTCATTCAATACATACTTGTTGAGGTCCTTCTCTGTGTCAGATATTATTGTGGTGTTTAGAATGTGAAACAGACAAAATTCTTGCATTCGAGGAGCTTTTGTTCTGGTTGGGTAGGAAGAAAATAAATATGTAATAAATATGTCATGTGCCAATAAGTTCCATGAAGGCAAAACAAAACAAAAAAAGCAGAATGTCTCCTGTGACATAAAAAAATCACTCCAATCACTTAGTGTCCTAAAATAACACCTTATTATTTCTCGCAAGTCCATAGCTTGGCTGAGCTCCCTGGGCTCATTCAGGAGTTTGTAGTCATGGAGGCTCAGCAAGGGCTAAGCCTCACTCACTGCTGGCTGTCAGTTCATCTTCTCCACAGAGCTCACCACTCATGAGTCCATTCTGAGTTTCCTTACAATGCAGACTGCAGAGTCCTGGGTTGTGAAAGAGGAGGCTGGAAGGATCTATGGCTTAGGACCGGGTCATGCCGTATTACTTCTATCTTGTATTGGCCATTGCATTGAGAAGCCCAGGCATGTCTTCGGAGTGACACATCTTTGCTACTTATGAACAATATAATTCTTTGTGGGCAAGAGTCGAGAATTTCTAAAGGATTGAGCCACGTTGAAAGGGGGGCATTTTGAAACAGTGAGACGTGAAGAGGAGCCGCTATGTGAGGCACGACTTGAGAGGAGAAACCAAGAAGTGTTTGAGGCGAGCACAGGCACAGAGAGGTAGGGTGTGCTTGAGATACGCGGGTCAGGGAAGGCGCTCTGAAGCGGGGCGATCTGGGGAAGGGTCTGAGTGAGGTAAGTAGGCCATACTTACTGAGGGAAGGGTAACCCTAGGTAGTGGGAATAGACAGCAACCAAAGGTTCTCAGGTTAGACCACTGCAATTCTTTTTCTTAGAGATAATTCCATTATCTCTAATATTAATATTTCATATTATGTATTTTGAATGAAGACATATTTTTATTTATGGAAAATATAATTCCTTATGGGCAGCAGTGGAAGATTCCTAAAGGAACCGAACCAAAATAAGAGGGAGCCATTGATTTCGAAACACTGAGATACAACAACAAACCATTTATTGATTTGAGGACCAAAAGAACGTCTACCTCTTTCCCTCGCTGCCTCCACCCTCCACATTCCTCGCCTGATGCACTGGGTGACTTGTGCAGCCCTTAGTAGAGCTCTAAGAAACCCAGAGTCTCAGTACCGCTGCTTTCATTCTGCACAGCGCTCGTCCGCATCCCTGCCCTCATGCAGCCTGTGGAAGCATCTCTGTGAGCAAATCAAACTGCGGGGCATGGGAGACCAGTGTATCTGGCTTACTAAAGGACGGAGCAGAGCAGAGGGGTTTTCTGGTATAATTACCCACAATTGATAGGGCAGTCTGAGGGTAATGGGTAATTAGTCTGTGTGTAGAGGGGACCAATTATCTAGCTCACTGACGGCCAGATGCTTGTCACTGTTCCTCTGGCCTCCTAGGCTGGGTTCCTGGCTCTACCTGTGGCCTATTAAGTGTAATGACCCTCCCATGCAGAATAGCCTGTCATTATCTCTGTGTTAGCGTGGTATTTATCCCCAAAACTCTGCCAAGCTGCTTTGCAGTTAGGAGACCTGCACACAGTCCCCTGCTGTGGCCTTGGACAACCATTCAAACTGTCAGGGCGGGGGATGGCTTTTAAAAGCTGAGAAGATAGACTAGTGTCCGCCCTGAAAGAGTCAAGAGACATCCCAGGAACTGACACCCTCACATACTTCCGAAGCCTGAGACTATGCACTTCAGAAACAGGATTTTAGAGACATCGAGATACCCCACCCCAAATCAGGGACATAGAAGGCTAATTCATTGGCTACTGAGTACCAAGACTGAAGTTGATTTCTCGAGAGTTGCTGTCTCTTCTGAAGTCTGGGCAGCCCTGATAGACAGGGAATCCTATCACACACAATGAAGTAACACTTTCAGGAGGTCCTCTGAGGCTTTTTACAGAAAGAAATAAAAGGAATTGTAAAAAAGGGGGTAGACTCACAAGTTGGTGAAGAGATAGAACCTATTATTCTTCTCCACTGTTCCTCTCAAAGCTCAAGCACCCCCTCTTTCTGCAGGTGTCACCTGCCTTTGGGTTATCTACTTGCCATGAGCATTTCTGATGAAAATAAAATTAACCCTCAGCCTGCCCCATTTCTCCTCCCTTTACCCTGTCATTGCTGCCCAAGGGTACACACACACACACACACACACACACACACACACACACACACAGCTCTTGAATGAGGAGGGGAAGCTGTGATTGCATATGGGGTAGTCACTACTTGACTTCTATTGCCTAAAAGGATGCCATTATGAGTATCTTTATACAAATATCGTCACACACAGGCATAGAATTTTCTGTAGCATATGGATGTAAGAGAATCTGAGCATGTGAATTTCAATTCGGAAAGATATCAAATTGTTAAAAGTTCTACACATTTAGTTTATTAGAGAGCTTGCTTTCCCTCGTCCTTGCCAACTTGGCTTGAGGCCCCTTTTATAAAAAAAAAACTTTCTTTCATTGTTTTATGATTATGCATGTGATAAGTGTTCCTTAAGGGTAAAGGAAAAATGGAAAGTGCAGCAAAAATGAAGAGAAAATAAAGATTAACTCCCGTGCCACCAGTCCAAGGTAAAATCCAGCCAGCTGTGATGACACTCCAATAGCTCCAACACTCTGGGATCTAAAGCGGAAGGGTCAAAAGTTCAAGGCCATCTGAGACACACTGGGAGAGTCCACCTCGAAATGGCAGAGGCTGTAGCTAAGGTAGCTGTAATCTGAGGACCTTTCTGGACTCACAAGAGCTAATAACATATTAAAGATCACTTCCTTCTCTCTTTTCTCCTGCCCCATGAATCCACAAACCTCAAATAGATTTTCTTGAGCTTTGTAGAGATTACTCTGAGGTAGGCAGCTCCAGATACGCACACCCCTGAAACGTGTCCCCATTCAAAACAGTTCCGCTGCCAGGAAGGCTCCAAGCCCGAGAATTTGTGGAGTAGGAACGGAGCACAAACATTCAGAAAATGTGTTTTCAGGCCTTGGCAGCTGAACCCAACAGATTGGAAAACCCATCTCCCGGGCCAATCCTATAGCCAAGTTTCCATGTCTCAGGGACCCTGACATGCTCTGTTAAGCCTCTGAGCTAATGACTCCTCTGCTTTCCATTCCAGAGACCTGAACTATAATGAGCTGCAGGAATTCCCCGTGGCCATCCGGACCCTTGGCAGGCTGCAGGAACTGTAAGACCTTCTGTTGGTGTGTTCCAGGGGTGCTTCTCCCAGGGGCAGAGGCCAGCTAACTCACCAAATCTCCTCCCATAGTCCTAGTGACTGGCCCTTATGAAAGCTGTGGCTGGAAACTCTCCACAGCCCCCAGAGCAGCTCTCAGTAGCCTCAGCTTTTGGTAGTTTGACTTTGAACATTTCTTGGGTGGGGTGTGCATCATCGTCATAAACAGCTCTGGGTTCTTCAAGCCTAAGAGCATACATGGAAGAAGCCACTTCTTGCAGCTTGGACCTGGCACTGCCCTGTCTATGTCTGAAGAAGAGTTAGAGGAAGAACCGGGGACTGGCTTATAGAGTTACTCTTTATTACCATCCCTAGAAAGATTGAGAAATTGACTCTAGAGCCCCATGGCTATTTAGTATTATTTTTATCATTTTAGTTGCGTGTGAACATGCATGCATGTGCATGTATGATGTGTACATGTTTGGGGGGAGTACACACGCCATAGCCCATGTGTGGAGGGCAGAGGGCAACTTTCTAGAGTCAGTCTCTCCTCTATTATATAGGTTCCAGGTATTGAACTCAGTTTCCTGGCTTGCATGGCAAGCAGCACTTTTATCTGTCGAGCCATCTCGTTTTCCCAGCCATTTATTATTCTTTTTCACACTCACCAGACTGGGCTCTGTGTTTGGTGTTAATACAAACCAAGGGTAAGATGGGCATGGGATCCTCTAAAAGGATCCTTCAGCCTCATCCGTGACACAAAGGAGCATTCATGAAACAGGAACAGGATAAAGCAACGTATAATTCCAGCCTTAAATTGTGGTATAGTATATTGGCTAAAATAGCTGTGGAAATTCAGAGTAGCAGACAGCTCGCTCTGGACTGAGGTCTCCTGAGACTGATCTCAAAGGATGAGTGAGATTGGGAGGGGACAGGTATTTTAGTCAGCGGAGCAGTACAAGCAAAGACTTGGAAGGAAGTGGCTAAGGTAGAGGATGACCACAAAAGGGATACTTGATGGGGTATCCTCAGTGGCCTTAGAAGTCTAACATATAGCTAGACTAGAATCCAATTAAAGGAACATTAAGATTCATGATTTTTTCCTAGAGAAAAAATGTACACATAGATTTCAGTCCATCCATTTATCCATCCATCCACCAATCCATCCATCATCCATCCGTCCATCCATCCGCCCATCCATTCATCCATCCATCCATCCATCCATCTATCTATCTGCCAATCCATCCATCCATTCATCCATCCATCCATCCATCCATCTATCTGCCAATCCATCCATCCATTCATCCATCCATCCGCCAATCCATCCATCCATCCGCCAGTCCATCCATCCATCCATCCATCCATCCATCCATCCATCCATCATCTATTGAGAGAAAGCTATTGCAAACACGGCCTCTATTATCTAAACATCTCAACCTCTCAGAACTCGACCTTAGCCCAAGACACAAACGATCTATTCAAACAAAAAGGATGTCTAGAAAGAACAAAGGGAGTAGCAAGCCTTAGTTGGTAGCATTAGCCAGAGATATGGGAGGATGAACCTTTAGTGACAGGGCACAGACGTGAAAGGAATGATGGGACAGCAGGAGATGGAAAGAAGTGAGCAGATGCTAGGGCACACAAAGCAGAGGCTGTAGTAGGAAGGAGACATTGAAAGGCCTGCTCAGACTGTACTGTGTGAGTTTCAGCCCAACAGCTTTGTTCTTGGCAAAGTGTCACAGCAACCCAAACACACTGTTCTTGACTTCAGATCCCAGACATGCAGTGGGGTACTTCATTGCTCACCATCCACAGATGCCACCCATGATCACTGAACACCTGACTCTGCCCCCTTTCCCCTCTGCTGATCTGCCCCTTCTGTGTTTCTTCACTTCAGGAAAAGCCTCCCTCACCCGGGAACCCTGAAACTTCTCTTTCTGTATGCTCCTTTTCCATCCACACACCCTTGGCTTCCTCTGGGGGAACTACCATGGCTCCTGCACACATGGCCAAGGAGTGGATCCCTTCCTTAGGACCTGAGCTCAACTACTTACCCTGGAGTTATTTATTCTTTCAGGCTTTCTGAAGTTTGAGAGCTGGGAACTGTCCCCACTTCCCTCCCAAGAGACATGTGCGCACGCGCGCGTGCACACACACACACACACACACACACACACACAAAGGCTGAGTAAATTGTGGAACAGAGAAGAAAACTCACCAACAGGATTGGAGGCTGAGATTTCCAGGGGAGTTCCCTTTGATCTCAGGACCTGTCTGGTCAGCTGTCAGAAAGCCCTGTGGAGCTCCTCCTCTCCACACCTCTCTCCCAGTCCTCACTGCTCCTGGGTGCTGTCTTCCAGGGGTTTCCACAACAACAACATCAAGGCTATCCCAGAGAAGGCCTTCATGGGCAACCCCCTCCTGCAGACAATGTGAGTACTGCTCCTGCTGCCCTGTGTTTTAAAGGATGGAGGTCGTGGGGGTGGATAGACAGGATGCCTCCAAAAAGAGCCAGCAAGGCAGGAATAGGGGAGAGCTGTTGTTCTCTCTGAGTCTTCACCCAGAAGAGCGGGAGTCTGGAAAGAAGCGAGCATCTGAACTGGGACTCGGGTGTTTCTCTTCCAGACATTTTTATGACAACCCAATCCAGTTTGTGGGAAGGTCGGCGTTCCAGTACCTGTCTAAACTGCACACGCTGTAAGTGGGTACCAGAGGCTGCTCCTTGGTGCTGCCCTCAGGGCTTCTCCCTTATACCCTTCTGCTTGCTCTCTTCTGCCCTCTGCCTGTGGACCTCTCTTTGGCCAGGCACCACTCAGCTGGAAGGAGAGGCCTTCAGGGCTCTAGAGGCAATACTTTCTCAGACCTGTCCCCATATCCGCTGGAACTTAATGGTTTCCCTCGGCTCTCACGTGGATGAAGAGAGCCCTTCTTCATACCTAGGGGTACTTCGTTGACCTCTTTGGTTTTGTTCGGCCTGTGGGAGTTGCTCCCCTATATACCCCCAGGGAGAACAGTGGACAGGGCGGAGGTTCTGGATTCTCTGTGTCCTAAGGCTGCTTCTCCAGTGCCCTGTGGCACAGCTTCCTATGCCATCTTTCTCACGCTGAGCCTGAAGGCAGTCCTTTGTTTCCTTTCCCCACTCTTCTATTCCAAGCCCAGGGTCCCACCCACTTCCATGACTGTTCACAGCATGTTGTAACCTCACGCTGCACGGCTAACCTCCTCCAGACACATGTTTCATTCTCGTTTCCAATGCATTTCCTCTTCATCCCAACCTTGGAGGTAGGTACTTTGGTCCATTTCACAGTTGAAACCTGAGGTGTTCAGGTACTGAACAGGTGTGAGCCCAGGTCCTCAATCGGGCACATTGTTGGATGTCATTCTGCTTCCTCAGGGTTTCTCACACACTGTTCGTTTGTGACAGGGTTTCTTGTGGCCAAGGCTAACCTTCAACTGATCCTCTAGCCTCCACTCTCCCAGAGCTAAGACTAAAGGCATGTGACATCCCTCTCAATACTTGCTTTTTAAAGTAAACATTTGTGCCAGGAGTAGTGGTACATGCTTATAATCTCAGCGCTCCAGAGGTGAAGGCAGGAGAGGTTCAAGGCTAATTTCTGCTATATAATCTGAGCTCCAGGAGACTCCATTATCGAAAACAAATAATAACAACATAGGACATTTTCCATGTCCCTTGTCTGGGTTTGGTTTTGCCTTTTTGCAAGTCAAAGGCCTCAATGCTGGAGTCACTGGGCTTAATCTTTGCACTTCTGGACCTGGCAGGGCTGTGTCAATTTTAAAAAGTGACTGGAAGCTGGCATGGTGATGCACGTCTTTAATCCCAGCACTCAGGAGGCAGACACAGGCGATCTCTGTGAGTTAGAGGCCATCCTGGTCTATATAGTGTGTTCCAGGAGAGCCAGCCAGAACTGTATAGAAGAGAGACTTTGTCTCAAACAAACAAACAAACAAACAAACAAGCTATTGGACCCTGCATGGCTCAACTTCCAACAGGGCCAGAGTAGCTAATTTGAAGGAGACCTGGGGAAGATGGCATTTCCCCAAAGGCAATGCCTATGTAGAAAGCTGAGGCTGAAAGCACAGATGTTGGCGTGCCTGACCCACCCTCCAGAGCCTGTTTTCTCTGTTTGCAGATCCTTGAATGGGGCCACTGACATCCAGGAGTTCCCGGACCTCAAAGGCACCACTAGCCTGGAGATCTTGTGAGTGGATTCCCTCTCCCTGTCCCAGGGACTCTTCCGCCTCCCTTCATCTGGAAGGCTGTCCAGGCTGCTCCCCTAGAGTCTGCCTCTGCTACTGGCTCAGCCCCAGGGCCTTGGCCATCTCCAGATGTGGCACTGCCTCCAGGCAAGGCTGGGGCAGCAGGATGTGGGGGGGAGGCTGGCATTCCTCTATTGTGCTTAGATTTGTCAGGTCTGGCTTTAGAGCTCTTAATCCTGAGCCATGGTGCATGAGGACAGAGGATGGGAGCAGGGTTGTGAAACCCCACTTCCTTTGATTTTGAGAGGCTTGGTTCCAATGAAGCCTTTCTTAGTGTCTCCACGCTATACTCTGGGTCCTGGGATAAGTATATCATAGACCCTCAAAGTACTCAGCATCCTGGGATACATAGTACATAGCAGGCCCTCAAAACATATCAAATGAATGAAAACAAACCAAGCAGGCACCCCACGTGAATGTTAGGAAGTCAGCTCCTTGCCCACACCACACAACTCATTCATGCTTCTACTGGGACTGCCACTCTCCTCTGTGCCTCCATTGTCTTCTTCCTCGCTCAGTGGCATGTGGAAATTTTTCCATGAAAGTAATAATAGTTTCCCAAGGATGACCTTGGCCTTGGAGTCTTTCTAGGGCTACCCTGAGCCTAATCCAAGCCTATTCTCCAATCTGCCCTCACAACCCTCTGCACCCCAGCCGCGGGACCTTCTCTCTTTTTTTTTTCCCATCTTGTTCCCCTCCCCCAGACACAGGGAGAAGAGTGCATACTGTGTTCCCATGGTTCCACTGGCGCTGTTTCCTAGCTACTCATTGCCATGGCTGTCCCTCCCCTCCATGGCCCCAAGAGCAGGGAAGACTTAATCTCTAAGGCCCAGTGTTTCTGGGACCATTATGAGGGTGGGCTATGGATGGGGTGAAGATATATGAGTAGATTTAGATCTGTATGGATCATTGGACAAGCAGAGTCAATGGATCGGGACCCTACTTCTCTCTGCTTCTCACCCCAGCTTCTGTAGGCCAGGGGAACGAGGGAGGGGGCTACTTTCTGTCACCATAGCCCCACCCCCTGCCCTGTTTATCCCCCGGCTTCTCTTTTGTCAGCTCTGTCCTCCCACGGACAGTATCAGGTCCAGTGCTAGAGACGGATGGCTGGGAATGGCAGGGTTCTGGGCTTGGTGCCAGCTCTGTCTCTGTTCTCCCTACAGGACCCTGACCCGTGCAGGCATCCGGCTGCTCCCCCCGGGAATGTGCCAGCAGCTGCCCAGGCTCCGAATCCTGTGAGTGGCTCCTGATCATTCTCCAGTCCTGGCATTGTACCGCTGGCCCCGTGTCCCAGGGAAAGCCTCTCCTGCTTCTGTTGTACTTGGTCACATCTCTTTTTGGATGAGCGGTCAACATAGACTCCTGCTGAGAATCTGTTTGGGAGGGACTGTCCTCTCTTGCTCAAGATAAAGGATTTGGGGGTCTGGAGTCAGAGCTGAGTGGTTTGAGACCAAGTCTGTGTCTCACTAGCTATGTTCATTTGGATTCATTCTTTAACATCTCTGAATTCCAATGTCTCCTTTAAAATGAGAGCCAATTTGTGAGACTTGAAAACAGCTCTGTTTAATGTACATGTCTCATAATAGGGCTTCCAAACGGCATCGTTCAGGCGAGAGAGTTTAACTATCGCTGCTGGTATTCTGAAGATTCTTAAGTTGCCCCGGTTTTTCTTTCCCCCTATATTCTAGCTTCAGTCTTAGACTGACCCCTCTGGTTCTTCCAAACAGCTCAAGATGGGTACATTGATACCCGGGGATGTGTCTATTAATTAGCGGTGTGTTTTTAGGCAGGTTCAATGCTAAGGTCCGAGGCCTCATATTCCCTGCCTACGGGAAAGGTTGGGCCAGATAGATGTTCCCTGAGGGTTCCCAGCATTCTTCTCTGCCAGCTCCATAAATGGGGGCTCTGCTTCCATGGGTGACAGTGGCCAGCTTGTTCAGTGATGCCTGTATTTCCTACTGACTGCTCCAGTATTCCACACCCCAGTTTTGGCCTCTCTCCTTGTCTCCATGCCCCTCCCTTGGTGCTCCATTTCCCCAGGATGCCCCCAGGGTTCTGCAGGTTTACCTGTTGATAAGGCAGCCCTGCTGTAAAACAAGAGGCCGAGTTGGTTCTATCTAGGCTCAGTAAGGGGGTGGGGCTTAGCAGGGAGGAGGGATGTGAAATCTAAAGGCAGAGATTGATACTCGACCATGAGAAGGCCGTACTATTCCTGCAGGGTCCTCGTGACCATCAACTGCTTGACAGAAAAGCATAGCCCTGGCCACAGAAGCTTTTTCCTGACCCCGCCCCCACCTTCACATAACCACTGCTTCACCCTGAGCTGGGTTCTGTCTCTTCCCCAGGGAGCTGTCTCACAATCAAATTGAAGAGCTGCCCAGCCTGCACAGGTGTCAGAAGTTAGAGGAAATGTAAGTCTAGGGACGGTTAGGGGCAAAAGAATGCAAGGGGGGCTCTTGGCAGGTCTGTGGGGAGGGGCCCAGGAGCTGAAGCTCCAACCCCTCTTTCTTCTCAGTTTGTTGGACTCAGATGTAGGGCTGGGAGCTCAGTAAGACCTGGGCACATCCTGAAGGACTCAGAGTCGATGATACTGCTAGGAATGGGTACCCAAAGGAGTCTCAGGATAGCTCATGAGTCAACAGCAATACCAAAAGGCAGTTGTAATTAGAACCAATAGAGGGCCAGGGCCACCAAGGCACTCTGTGTGAGACACAGGAAGTCTTCAGGGGAACTAAAAGCACCCTCGGTTTTGGAGCATGTGCTCTTATGTTCCACAACCCATTGACATTCACACATATATGTGTGCTCATGAACACAAAGATAATACATGGTCGTACATGGTCCTCCAGCTTCACATGGAAAAGCTCACTTTAAAATTTTCCTAAGCCCCATTTGGCCACCTCCTTAAACTACTTCCTTAAATAATTTTCTTAAACTACTTCAGTCTCTTTAGTTCCTCATAGCTGCCCCTGATTCTAGGCAGGGCAAATGCTTAATGGGGCCATGGCAGGAAAGATATATCTGGGTCTGTCCTGTTTGTCTGGGTGACAATGTCTTTGATATTGCTGGAGTCCAGGAGGTATCGCCTGTTCTGACAATCCGTCTACCGAATTCAGTGCAGTCACTTGGGTGTGCAGTCACCAAGGGCTGGGCATGCTCTGAGGCCAGGCTAGGGTACGGAGGACCCATGGCTGTGCGGGAAAGTGGGGGTCACTTCAGCTGGGCTGGGAGCCAGGCCCGGTGGGAACCCTGGAAGCTGACTCCCTCTTGGGCCACAGGGATGGTTTTGTGGCTTTGTCTCCTGACCCACTTACCCAAGGCAACCGGATCTCCTTGTGCTCCCTCTAATTCTGGTGACTTCCGCGGGCTGGGCCTTTTTTCCTGTGCCAGAAGAAGTGGGGGTCTCTCCTTTCTTCCTTCCAGTGCTTGAGGGGCATGGAGCAGAGCCAGGGTCTGGGCCTGCAGGCTCATCTAGTCTCTCTTGCTGCCCTAGTGGCCTCCAACACAACCGGATCTGGAGAATTGGTGCCGATACCTTCAGCCATCTGAGTTCCTTACAAGCTCTGTGAGTACCTGCAGGACTCAGGGGTGCCTACTGGAGGACCCCATGTCCCTTCCAAGCTCATTCCTATGGAACATGTGTCCAATTTAAGCACTCATGACATGTACGTGCATTTCTTCTCCACCGCCCTTTCACGTACACATGCACACGTACACATGCACACGCGCACACACACATGCACACATACGAGGCACTTTCCCATCCAGTCACGCAGACCGCTTCTCCAGCTATTACCCAGGAAGTCCTGAGGCTCTAGAGCCAAGACATGATGGCTGCATTCCAGTTGCTACAGCCAGGTTGGGAACTAGGCAGCTGTAGGAACCTTCCTCAAAAGGATAAGGCCACTGTGCTTCAGAAGACCAGGTGGAAAGTATGTGAGAGCAAGCCCGAGACAGGCCCAGGATAGGAACAATGCATTCTCCGTGGGTTTCTGCTCTCGCCTCTCTCAAGCTTTCTGTTTGCAGAGACCTGAGCTGGAACGCCATCCGTGCCATCCACCCTGAGGCCTTCTCAACCCTGCACTCCTTGGTTAAGCTGTAAGTGTGCCTTGACCTCTCTTCCAGGATGCTGGGGACCAGTAGGGACCATGGGCTGGCAGGTGGTACAGGAGAGCCACCACTGAGCAGGGACTTGTATAAATGTTTCACCACCCATCCCAGGGAGGTCTGTGCAGGCTAATCAATCATCCTAACAGTGTGTTTGACACATGGCGAGGCCTGCTAAACAGAGAGCCTGCTTCCTGCAAACTCTGGAATATCATCTGCTGACGTTCTGCAATGTTTTGGCAGCCTCGGTCCTCATCGCGTTCCACTCCCTCACCTCTACCCTGGCCTCTCTGTCCTCCACATGCACCAATGGAGAGAACATATGTGCCCGAACTTCTCACTCCAAGAGGACGGTGGCTGACAGAACTCAGGGACTCAGAGAGCTACAAGACAGTAGGGAGCCGTGGAGTCTTTACGTCACATAGGAGTCAAGCAGAGAGTATGCTGGCCTGGGGCACGGTCACAGTGTTAGGCTGAAAGGGCCTGGTTGCCACACACTGTGGAGCAGGTTATTAACTATACAAGAGTTCTGTCCGAGGAGGAGCTGGCATCCTACCTGCTTGCTTGCCAAAGGCATTCCCACCCGCACAGGGCCCCTTTCTGAGCCACATAGACTCCTCTAGGCTAGCTCCAGCTCTGGCCTTGGCTCTTATCCTGCCACTGCCTCTTCACTGTTGACATCTCTAACATCTAGGAGGAGTCACCTGCTTAAGGATTGTCCATGACTCCCACGTGGCACGCAGTCCCCCCTCCCTAGTCTGTGGCTCTCTGGGCTCTAGGCCTTGGTCTTGTAAAACTCTCACCTCCGTCTTCCCTCTGATGTTTGCTATACTCCTGCCAGAGAGGTAGGGCAGATATTTTTATTCTTTGAAAGATGAGGCCATTGGAACCTGGGCAGCTTCGTGCTCCCTTTGGTTACACAGTGAGCTGGTGACGGTGCCAGGTTTCCTGCCTGCCAGTCCAGGGCTGTTTCCACGACGCACAGTCTATGGTCCTAGTGTTTGTATTGGATTCCTGGCTTGGTCTAATAATGTCTCCTGGGGAAGTTGTGTGTGTCCTCACCTCTGGCTACCAGACAGGTTCTGAAAGGCAGGATAGATGAACCAAAGTCAGCTTAGGTCTGGATGACGAGTTCTGTTCTGCTCTGTCTGACTCTGGCCTAGTTCATCATCAGAGAAACAAAGGGAATACATGGGATACAGGTGAAGAGCAGAGAGGTCTCCCAGGAGGGTGAGCAAGGGGTCCCAGATGGGAACCAGACACAGCAGCTATAGGTGTGGGACTCTGTTATCTATAGATTGGGACAATTTGATATTAAGCTAGAAGAGCCACTGACATTTAGCTGTCCCTCAGGGTTTGTTGAATGAGTGGATGGCCGAGTTAATGGAGGGTTGTCTTTAAAGCCTTCTGAATCAGCCTTGCCACAGGGCGCACACTGCCTCCCCGGTACTTATCTTCCATTCTTTGCTGATTTCCTTTTGCTTTCATCCCAGCACCCTGGTCACACCCTCCACAAGGCCCTGTCCCCTCAGCAGTCCCACTGACTGCCAGTAACTCTGATCATCCACTATCCTAGGGACCTGTCCGACAACCAGCTGACCACGCTGCCCCTGGCCGGGCTGGGAGGCCTGATGCACCTGAAGCTCAAAGGGAACTTGGCCCTGTCTCAGGCCTTCTCCAAGGACAGTTTCCCAAAACTGAGGTGAGAGCTTGGCTTGCCCTATGCCTGAGGAGGTGTGTCCCGGACACCAGTCTCACAGGGAGATTAAAAAAGCCACAGGGTCTCACCCTGAGAATAGCCTGGTAGCCTAGGGTTTGGCTTCACTGCCCTCCTCCTCATCGCCTCTCCCTACTCCAGCCATCAATTTAAAGGCACAGAGATTGTAGGAAAGAAGAGCGCTGGTGTAGAGGCCCCCGGGACCTCCTTGTTCCTGGCCCTACACAGCGAGGCTGTCCCATCCTCACACAGGCATCATCTGAGGTACAGAATCGGGGCAGAGCCCAGGGCACTGATGAATGGAAAACAAGTTGCACAGCCAGTCCCTGGTGCTAATGACATCCAGGCTTCCTTCACGTAGTGGCGGCAGCCGTGCAGCCTGTGTGGCCCAAGCTTTGTCTGCTGCAAGCTAACGAGATGCCCAAGGCGTCTGTCCTCACCCTCGGAGGGCACAAAACCCGGTTCTGTTATGCCAGGAGCTGGGAAGGAGACAGGGTGTTGGTTTCACAGAAGACAAGAGTAAAGAGTCACAGGGGAAATCTTGGATTTGGGGTTTTTTGTTTTTGTTTTTTTTGGGGGGGGGAGAGGCTGGAGAGATGGCTCAGTGGTTACAAGCTCTTGCTGTGCAGTTATAAGGATAGGAGTTCAGATCTCAGACCTATATAATAAATTGGGATCCCATACATGCTTGTAATCCCAGCTCCGAGGAAGGCAGAGGCAGGGAGAAACCCCATCTCAGTGAAATAGGCAGAGAATGATAGGGGAGAACACTGGGTGCCCTCTTCTAGTCTCTGCGTGTGTTCACATACACTCAGACATAAAGAAAGGAAGGTGGCTGTTGTGCGTGGTCCTACACACTTGGGTAGTAAAAGAAGGAAGAAGGAAGATGGGCAGTTCAAGGTCATCCTTGGAGTTTGAGACCAGCCTGGGCCACATGAGACCCTGTCTTAAAAAGAAAAGAAAGCAAAGAATGGAGGTAGGGAAGAACAAGAAGAGAGGGGGAAAGGAAGGAAAGGCAGAAAATAGGGAAGGGGGGAAGAAAAAGAAAAAAAAAGAATTCATGCCCCTCCCTTTCTCCAGCACTGGGGATCAAACCCAAGAGCTTGTGCATGTTAGGCAAGTGTTCCATCACTGAGTCAAATCCCAGTCCCTGCCTCCTATTGTCTTCTTAAATATAGACAAGAGTTACTACCAAGGAGAAGCAGAGCACCCTGAATGCTGTGTGACCAGGGGAAATTGCCTCCCACTCTGAGCCTGCTGTGGGGACTTCTAAATAAGTGGGAAAAGTCTCTCTCCCTTTCAATTAAGACAAATTATGAGAAGACTATAGTCTCTCATCAGACTACAGAGCCCTTTGGAGTCAGCAATCAGGCTTTAAGACTCATCCAGAGCACTGGTTCTCAACCTGTGGGTCTTTACCCCAAAGGGGTCAAACAACCCTTTCACTGGGGTCACCAAAAACCATTAGGAAAACAGATATCTATATCATGATTCATAATGGTAGCAAAATTACAGTTATGAAGTAGCAATGAAAATAATTTTATGGTTGGGGTTACCACAACATGAGGAACTGTATCAAAGGGTTGCAGCATTAGGAAGGTTAGAACCACTGGCTTAGACGGAACAGGACACGTTGGGGCTGAAGAACAGGTGCAGAGGGCATCCACGCTGTTTTCGATCCCAGACACACTAAGGCAGCCTGTTCCCCACCTTAGGATCCTGGAGGTGCCCTATGCCTACCAGTGCTGCGCCTATGGCATCTGTGCCAGCTTCTTCAAGACCTCTGCGCAGTGGCAGGCTGAGAACTTTCACCTGGAGGAAGACGAGGCACCGAAGAGGCCCCTGGGTCTCCTTGCTGGACAAGCTGAGAACCACTGTGAGTAGTCAGGGACCTCGGGCTGAGGGTGTCCAGGTACTGGAGAGGAATTGCTAAAGAAGGTTCAGAGAAGAATTAGTGAAGATGTGTGTGTGACCTGGAGGAACTGTCTTACTGTTTGTACACTCATGAGCGCTTGCTGAGAAGGAGAGACCATAGGATGGGAGCTGGGGTGGCAACTTCTTCCTGACCTTGGCAGGCCCTCGCATGTGCCAGCTCTCTCACTCCCCTTTCCCATGCGCCACTCACTTCATCTTGGTGGCAGCCTCCTTACAGTGCAGGGTCCTTCACCTTTGGGTGTTCTCAGAGAAGCTGATTGATTAGTACATCAACCGACTCAATTAGGATTAAATTAATCCAACTAAACCTGTTTTCAGTGGGGGAAAACCACCTTCCACTATGTCCTAGAACTAAATGGGACATTTCAGGGATTATCGCTCCCACGACTGGATGTCCTGTGCCTCTCTCCTGTCTACGAGTCCAAATGTGAAATTTAAGTGAGCACTGAGTATACAGCCCTGCAGAATGGGCAGGTTGTCTTGGGCCAGGTATGTCTATTTCTGGAAGAGTGGGGTGAAGGGAAATTTGGAGGTAGGCAGCCAGGGGGTTCTGAGGGATTGTCTATAAAAGATATCTTAGGTAAATGGGAGAGAAGAATGCTTTCCTCTCCCCAGGCCCTGTGTTCCCAACCTCAGACAGAGTTAGGATAGACAAAGGGGTATTGCCTGTTGGACTTCATTTTCCATCTTGAACATCCCAACGTCTCAAAGAAGCAGAACAGAAAAAGCATCAAATCTAAAGCTGAGTGTAGCACTGCCACTCACCTGGTACCCGGGATGCCAGAGGTGAAGGCAGGAGGATCAGATGTTCAAGGCCACTGTCATCTACACAGTCAGTTCAAGGCTAGTCTGAGTTGTATGAGACTCATTTACAGCACCTTACGCTGGTGTTATGGTATAGACAGAACTCAGTTCAAACCCAACTACGCCATGTACCATTTGGGTTGTCTTCAACATGTTTTAACCTGAGTTTTGTAGGTTTTTTGTTTGTTTGTTTGTTTGTTTTGTTTTTTTTTTGTTGTTTGTTTGTTTGTTTTACTCTTTGGGGCCCCACCACCCAGCTCCCAAATAAATACATGGAGACTTATTCTTAATTATGAATGTCCGGCCTTGATTGGTTTTTAGACAACTTTTCTAACTTAAATTATCCTGTTTCTCTTTAAATGCGGTTTGCCTCTGAGCTTTTTACCTTTCTTTATTCCATTTACCTTTCTTTCCTTCTTACTCCGTGGCTGCCTGGGTGACTGGGTGGCTGGCCCCTGGCATCCTACTTTCCTCCTTTTCTCGCTCCTCCCTCTTCTTCTCGAGCCTAGATTTCTCCTCCTATTTATTCTCTCTGCCTGCTAACCCCACCTATTTCTCTCTCCTGCCTAGCTATTGGCCATTCAGCTCTTTATTAGACCATCCAGGTGTTTTAGGTAGGTAAAATAACAACTTTACAGAGTTAAACAAATGCAACATATCTTTGTATCATTAAACAAATATTCCACAGCATAAAAATGAATGAAGCCCATCTTAAATAATATTCCACAACAGAGTTTAATTTCCTTATCTTTCAGGGGGGGAAAAAAGATAGTACATGTCTCAATGGCTGTGAGGGAGGACTGCATGAGTCCATACAAGGCAAAGTGTGTTTGTCAACACTGCTTTGAGAGTCAGGGACACATACTTGAGGATAGTGTCCTTGTATAATCTAGACCACAGCTTACGGAAGTCAAATACTGTACTGTCTGGGGATCTCTGAGAACTTCCCTCCCAGTGGATGGAAACAGGAGAAGCATCTCCCAGAGAAGGCCCAAGCTCCCAGGAGGAGGAGCACAGCATCTAGTGGGGCCAGCAGACATCTGTCCCCCAGGGACAGTCCCGGATGTCTGCTGCATACTCCTTGGGGGAGTAGAAGGGGGCTGGAAAGAGGAATGGAAATTTTCCTTCCACAAGGTGAAACTTTCCACTGGGCTTAGGTCTTGGAGAACTACAGGCCTGTTGAGTTAGTGGGCTGCCTGCTGCCTGTAACAGGAGCTAGGGCAGGGCCCCCCACTTCCTGTGAAAGCAAAGGAGCAGAAAGAAAGCCAGGAACTGCTGTTCCAGCCAGATTCGATTTCCTCTCCATTTGAAGAGTGGTTACTTAACACCTTGGCCGTGACTTTCCCAGCCTCAGACAGTCTGTAGGCTTCACTCCTTGTATTTCATTCATGCATTCTGATTGTAAAGAATCACTGAAGTCCTTTCTGGGGTGCATGGGCAGGTGGGGAATGAATGGTAGAGAAGGAAGGAAATGGCCAGGACTGTGGGGGCACACCCTGGCCTTCCACCTGCCCTGAAGCTGTCCAGATTAAGGGCAGCCCCACAATCTTCCGGCCTCCTGGGAAAGCCCTAGCAGATGTTTACCTGTTAAGTGGAGTGAAAGGATCTACACAGGAGCCAGACGGTGTGAGCCAAAGACAGAGACAAATACAGCAAGGTCATCTACTTATTCCTCTGTGATAGAGGAAGCTGATGGGGCACCTCAGACACCAGCCTCATTCTGGTGTGTGTGTGCATGCAGGTACATGTGGCTCTGAGAGCCAGAAGTTGATGCTGCAAGTCTTCCTGTATTACTTCGCCTTATTTTCTAAGTCAAGGTCCCCTACTGAGCCCAGAGTTCACCACTTGGCCAGAATAATTGGCCAGGGAGATACAGGGATCCTCCTAGCCCCTTCCTGCATCAGGGCTACGGGTACATGACACGATGCCTTGGGCTGCGAATACATGCCATGATGCCTAGGGATGCAGATACATGCCATGATGCCTCAAGCTGCAGATACATGCCACAATGCCTAGGGCTGCCTTTTATGTGGCTGCTGAGGATCTGAACTCAAGCCTTCATGCTTGCCATTGAGAAAGATTTTACATAGCCCAGACTTGCCTCAAATTTGCTTTGTAGATGAGGATAACCTTGAACTCCTGATCCTCCCGCCTCCACCTACCAAATTCTGGGAACATAGGCAGGCATGCTCAGCCATGCCCAACACCAACATCTTCTTAGCATGTAGTGTTTGTAAGTAGGACATGGAATTGCAATGACAGGCTGGCTGGATGAAGAACTATGTAGTCACTAGCTTTCCTCATTAGAGCAGCTACCAGCCACACTCTAAGCAGCACTCGTGGACTAAAGGTGGCTCGGCCCAAGAAAATGCAGAATATTGAGAGTGAAATGTTCATTTCAGAGAACCAGAAATACACAAAATCCACAACATGGATTTTGAGAGAACATGGAGCCACCCAAATACTGACACCCACGAGCAGAAATAGATAGGCAGGACTGTTGGGTGACCAGGATCGAACAGTGAGGAAGGGCACAGCAGCTTAGATGAGTGTGCGCTAATGACACACACCAGACCCAGGACACTAGCCACTTTCTGCTTTCCCTTCTCAGATGACCTAGACCTGGATGAGCTCCAGCTGGACATGGAAGACTCAAAGCCACACCCCAGTGTCCAGTGCAGCCCTGTTCCAGGTAAGATGGGTGTGGCTGGGGAGCAGGGGAGGGGACAGCCAATCACCTGAATGAGAAGTCAGTTAGCCCATCTACGGTTGTGCTATAGATACTTTCTCTGCCCAGGGCTAAATCTGCGGGGTAGGAGCCTCTTCTATGCCTGGCAGAGACTTAGGTATCTACCCAGGAGAAGCAGGGGGGTTGGGAAGGGTCAAACAACCTTCACACTTCAGCCAATCAACGGTTATGCACCTAGAAGAAGTTGCTCTTGGAAGAAGAGAGACGTGAGGAAGAGTCGTGGCTGGGGCTGCCGGGGCTGCTCTTTGAGCATTCCCTCATACACCACAGACTCGGAGAGCCAGGTGGGGCTCCGAAAGAGACCCTTCTCCGATTCATGAAGCGTGGGACCTCTCTTCATTAAAATAGAGCGGGAAAACTCCAGTGTCTCTGGATAATTCCTAAAGTACTGTCTGACCCTTAGAACCAAGGAAGTCTCCTCTAACCTTGAGCCATTAGAACAGAAAGAAGGGGGGGGGCTCTTTTTCCTTGACGACACACAACCTAAGATTTTTTTTAAGTGTGAAGAGTTCCTTTCCTGTGTATAAAATGCTAACATTAAATTAGTTAGCATTTAATTAGCAAAACAATTAATTAAAGGCATGATGATGCATGCCTTTAATTCTAGCACTCAGAAGGCAGAGGCGGATAAACTCTGTGAGTTAAGGCCACCCTGGTCTACATGGCAAGCTCCAGGACAGCCAGAGCTACATAGTGAGAACCTGTTTCAAAAAACCAAAACCAAACAATAAAATAAAATGCCAACAGGCCATGCCAAAAGACAGCAGAGTGCTGCTTGGGCCAAGAACTGTTGAGAATAAACACAAAGTGATGAACAGTTAGCTGTTTCTATTCATCCCACCTCCGTTTTCCAGGTTTCCATACTTTGCTGGCGTAAGCCCCTTGCCCGGAAAGCTTTCTGCCCTGACCTTGCTCGACACCAGCTCTTAGTGCTTAGTGGCAAAAGTACGCCCCCTCGTGTCGGACTGGGGAAGGGAACAGCTGGCATAGTTTGCCAGAAAACACATGCTTCACTAGCTCTGCCTCAGTCAGGAGCTGCATGTCTGAAAATCAGCAATCAACAAGGATGAGGTAAAAGAGAAAGTTCTGGAAAGCAAGGTCCAACTTCAGCTTGCTTTAAAAATCGCTCACACAAGCGGTCGAATAAATTACTGCTCATCATATGGTGCGGTGTTTTTATTATGCAGCTATTGGAAATGTGTTTTTGAGGTTATGAGGAAGTATGCTAAGATTAATTTAAAGAGAATAAAATCTCAACTTATTTTAAATAATGCGTTAAAACCTGGAAGCAAATAGGCTAAAATAATGAGTTCTTTTTGAGAGGTGAGGTCATAAGCAGCTTAGATTTTTCCATGTTATATTTTCAGATTTCCTACAATTACCACCTATTATTTCATAATCAGAAAAAAGTGTTTCTAAAATAGCTCCCACAGAAATCTCTGAAATTCCCAAGCTACCTAGCAATAGTTTGAAAAACAAGTCTGAAGCCAAAGGAGATGAAGAAATACTATGCCCAAAGTTATACACAGTGACTTAAGAATGGGCACTGGGGAGAGAGATGGAGAAACGCCAGGGTCTCACCCATCTAATGTGGCGTCAAGTTGGGAAACTCCAGAAGTTCAAAGGTTTTTTTTTTTTTTTTCCTCTTTGTTTTTAGTTAGGGCTTCGCTATAATCTCAGGCTGGCTTCAAACTTATCATTCTCCTGCCTCGGCTCCCTGAGTGCCAGAATACAGGTGTGAATTACTATACTTGGCAAGTTTTTCTATATTTCCATTATGCACTTGGTCTCCCAAACACTGATTGCCTGATGAACATGCACTGTGGTTAAAGCAAGGGAGACCCAGCTTCTGTCTACTTGGGACTTCTCAACTGTAGAAACTTCAGTGATTGCTTGGGCAGGGTCACCACCATAAGTGGTTGACTCTGGACAGCTCCTCACCCCAGGACTTCTCTTTGCTACTGTACACCAGTTTGTTACTCGTGTTTCTCCAAGTCTTGTGTCTTTGGGAAGACTGTGTTTCATAGCATTCCCTCAGGTCTGGGTTTGCACTGTACCATGTATACACTTCTGTGTATTTTCTTTGCAGCTTCTTCATATGTACCCCCACCCCCACCCCAGTTCCAGGCATTTTCTGAGGAGACCAAGTCTGCCGTTCTGAGACCAATTCTCTACTGTTAGTCTCCTTTGCATTCATTAGGAGTCGTCTGAGCATAGTGCTTGGCGTTGCCAGTGAGCTGGGTTCTGGCAGCCCCTGCTCTGACCTTATGTCTGTTCTCTCTCACAGGTCCCTTCAAGCCCTGCGAGCATCTCTTTGAGAGCTGGGGCATCCGCCTTGCGGTGTGGGCCATCGTGCTGCTCTCGGTACTCTGTAACGGGCTGGTGCTGCTGACAGTCTTTGCCGGCGGGCCCAGCCCGCTGTCCCCAGTCAAGCTTGTGGTAGGTGCAATCGCAGGCGCCAACGCCTTGACGGGCATTTCCTGCGGTCTCCTGGCCTCGGTGGACGCCTTGACCTTCGGCCAGTTCGCCAAGTACGGAGCCCGCTGGGAGACCGGGCTAGGCTGCCAGGCTACGGGCTTCCTGGCCGTCCTGGGGTCGGAGGCGTCGGTGCTGCTGCTCACCCTGGCCGCGGTGCAGTGCAGCATCTCTGTGACCTGCGTCCGGGCCTACGGAAAGGCGCCGTCGCCAGGCAGCGTCCGCGCAGGCGCGCTGGGGTGCTTGGCGCTGGCCGGACTGGCGGCCGCGCTGCCACTGGCCTCGGTGGGGGAGTATGGAGCCTCGCCGCTCTGCCTGCCCTACGCCCCGCCCGAGGGCCGGCCAGCCGCCCTGGGCTTTGCGGTGGCCCTGGTGATGATGAACTCACTCTGTTTCCTCGTCGTGGCTGGCGCCTACATCAAGCTCTACTGCGACCTGCCGCGGGGCGACTTTGAGGCCGTGTGGGACTGTGCCATGGTGCGGCACGTGGCCTGGCTCATCTTCACAGATGGCCTCCTCTACTGCCCCGTGGCCTTCCTCAGCTTTGCCTCCATGCTGGGCCTCTTCCCGGTCACCCCCGAGGCTGTCAAGTCTGTCCTCCTGGTGGTGCTGCCTTTGCCTGCCTGCCTCAACCCACTGCTCTACCTGCTCTTCAACCCTCACTTCCGGGATGACCTTCGGAGGCTCCGGCCAAACCCTCGGTCCGCGGGGCCCCTGGCCTATGCTGCAGCCGCTGAGCTGGAGAAGAGCTCCTGCGACTCCACCCAAGCGCTGGTGGCCTTCTCGGATGTGGATCTTATTCTGGAAGCTTCTGAGGCTGGGCAGCCTCCTGGGCTAGAGACCTATGGCTTCCCCTCAGTGACCCTCATCTCCCGTCAGCAGCCAGGGGACACCAGGCTGGAGGGAAACCATTTTGTAGAGCCTGACGGAACCCAGTTTGGGAACCCACAATCTCCCGTGAATGGAGAACTGCTGCTGAGGGCTGAGGGAACCACCACGTTGGCAGGCCGTGGCTCTGCAGCAGGTGGAGTCTTCTGGCCCTCCGGCTCTCTCTTTGCCTCTCACTTGTAAATATCCCTCCCCATTTGTCCTCTCCCCTCTCAATTTTACATATATATATATATATATATATATCCCAGCAGGATGGCCAACCGCCCCTGGTGCCATTGTTCTCTCTCCGTGGCCTTAACCAGTGAATGCTTCCAGGTCTTGTTTTGACTTGGCCTCTTCAGCTTCACTCTCAGCCTGGGTCTTCCCTGTCAAATCTAGTCTGTAGACTACAGACCTGGAAATTTGCTTAGGAGAAAGGAGGAAAGTAAAATATAGTACAGTGGGGATAGGACCATGATCAGGCACAGAGACGGGCATGGAAGAGAACCACCAAAGACACGGGAGTGTCTCCTCTATGACTTGTGGATGGGATATAAAATGTGTTGTGTCCCATTGCTTTTGACCTATGCCATACAAAAGCACTTCCTGTTCAGATATGCTATGGAAGACATTGCATATCATGTCCCTGTCTTAGCGTCATGGGGTCATGTTAGTGTCTAAAAGGTCCTGAGATTTAGAACCTTTTAACTTAATTACTGCAGCAGTTAAACTTTTTTTTGACAGGTTTCTGTTTGCGTTTCCTGAAATACTTACAAATATCTCACAGAACTTAGCTCGGTTTTATCCCAGGGGGCTCATCTTTACACCAGGGAGCGCTACCCAGTGACATCACAAGATGCTGCCCTCCTTGAATGCCTCTAAGAAGCCAACCTGGGGTAAAACGCCTGAAGTTACTAACGATTCCACCGTCTAGGAGAGACTCTTCACACTCTGCTGCCCACGCTCCTCCTCCTACCAGGCCAGAGACCTGGAGGAACTTGCCTCAGCCCCTCAAGGTGGGGCAGGAAGAAAGAGACCCTTGTGTGTGCTCCCATACCACACGACCCAAGTACCAATGAAATTTCTGCTCTCAGCAAGACACAGTTCTCAGGTTCCGGCAAAGTACACACTGGGAAGTCTGCAGTTCTATGGGCTCTCCCTTACTCGATGTTACCTTTGGATGGTTTTACATTGTTTGCCTACTGCCACAGCCTGGACCTCTCTTCTCATCCCAGTCCTGTTCCTGGCAGTGGTGGGCAACCCACGATATTCATGTTGTGGGTATTTCAAGGGAGTATTGTAGCTATCTGGGACTCCTGGGTGCGGTTAAGTGACTACGGAGTGCCTCCCGCTCCAATCCAAACACAAGCATTCAGTCTCAGGGGAGAAGGTAAGAAGTGGGAGAATTAAAGCCTCAGGATTAAGTGATTATTGCTCCTGGGAACCCCCAATATCTTTTATATTGATAAGACTGAGTGTGGATCCTGAGGCCCAATGGAGCTCCATCCCCGCCTGAATCCTGCTGTGATCCTTAGCCGAGTCCTCCAAGATCTCCACCTGTAAATCAAGCTGAGAGGTCCTGCTCTTAAGTTTACTACTTCTCTTTCCATAGCTTAGCTTCTTTGCTCTCTCCCTCTGCCCCCTCCAGTGCCCAGATTCTGGCATAGGTCAACAAGTGGGGTGAGGGGAAGAGTCAACCAGAGGCCTTGCATGGAGACTGAAGCGTTTCTAAATCCCACATGACTCACTAAGTAGCCCCTGGATTCTTGAAGACTCTGAAGCAGAAAAAGCTACTTTATAATTTCTTGGAGTGCTCTCATGGGGTCAGTTTCACTAACGATGGCACCTTTATTTATCAATTGTTTCAGGGTGCCTGATCTCTTTATTTCCCCAGGATGACCAAGAACCCTTGGTGGGAAAGGTTTTTTTTTTTTTTCCTGATACTAGGTGGTCCTCTGAAATTCCTCAAGGATGGCAAAAATTGGTATTATTTTGGGAAACCTTGACTTCTAGAAAGTCACCCTAGATTTTGTTCTGTCACCACCACTATGGGATCACTGGTCCCTTTGGAGTTAAGGAACCAGCCTTGAGGAAGAGTAGAGTGTCCATATGTTGGTGGTTGGGAATATAGGAATTGTTTCTTGAAGATGTCCTCTATGAAAGTGAGCCAGTCCTTTTGGGCTGCAAGCTATATGTGTCACTGCTGTCACCTTACTGTCTGCTTCTAAAGATGTGAGCATCAGCCAAAGCTGGACTTTCCAATAAAGAAGAGGCAAGGGAGATAGATGGAAACTGAAGGTGTCCTCAGTAACATTCGAAATGTCTAGTGAGGAGTGGTGGTGCTTACCTGTAATCCCAGCATGTGGGATGTGGAGTTGAGGTCATCCTCAGCTACATGGTGAGTTTGAGGCTATCCTAGGCTACATGAGACTGTCTCAAAACAAACAAACAAACAAACCCAAAATCCTAGTTTATGCATATTTACCACAAATATGATCGAGTAGTAAAGTTTCTTTGGGCTTTGATTTGGGCTAAATTTCTAGCCTGTCAATATGTTACTCCTTCGGTTCTCTCCATGTATCTTCTCCTAAGCAAATTCCCAGATCTCCGTTTTACAATGTTTAGATTTGACAGGAAAGACCATGTGTCCTCAATTCCTCACAGAATGGAAAATTAAACTGTTCAGAGCACGTGAATCCTCTGCTGTTGTTGTGAACACAATCTTCCCAATAGTTCCATGGGAAAGAATCCACTCCAGGGGCTAAGACGTTGTTAGTAGAGATGTCAGGACTTGGTGTGCACTTCCTCGGGCTCTGTGTGCTGTGCCATTAGCTAGTGCCAACCACAATCTTCTCTCAGACCAAGGAAAACTTAAGGTGCACCATGGTTTGCTAAGCATCTCGCCAAAATAAAAAACCAAAAAATACAAGTGTAGAGCTAAATGCAAGAGCATGAATTAGAGTTTCTTGCCAGGCCTCTCTTCCTCTTTACCGCCTCTCCTGCTCTTTTGGGCTCCCTTATACGGGAAGAGTAAAGGCTTAAAGAGTAATGGAGGAGAAGAGGGAAGAGCTGGGGACAAGGCAGAAGGCCTACGGGGACAGGATGGAAAGAGGTAATAAGAACCCTGACCTTCCTAGCACCAATCCCTCGACTACCTCTGCTCTTGGGTTACCAAGTTCTCCTACCTATGACCACCACCTCTCCATCCCTTCTGAGTTCCAGTCCCATGCCCTCCCCAGCCATGTGAAATATAAAAATTGTCGAGATGTAAATATCCGGGTTCTTCTGTATAATAAAGCACCGATGAAGTACCACATCTGTCCTTCCACTCTTTTTTGCTACCCCTGGGGGAATCATGGGTGTGACAGAGAAATAAAACCTCATGGCTTTGAGAGGGTCAGGCTCCTCACACTCCCTCTTTCTGAGTTCTGGGACATTTCAGACCACAGTCCAGGAATCAAAAGCAGTTTCAACTATCCATGCTGAAGTGTCCTTGGTGTGCACAGGGTCAGACAGAACAGAGTCTAAAGACAGCCAGGAGCAGCTTGGGTGTCCTGTGTCTCAGACTCTGAAGTCTTATCAGCCACAAGTCTACTGCAGAGGTCTCTACCCAAGAATCAGTTTTCTTTTAATGGGATGAACTTCCTTCCCTACGGTCTTCCTTCCCCAGAGCCTTGCTTCAGAGTTTGATGACATTACCAAGAAAAGCAGGAGCCCTTCCTGGGAAAGGGAAAGAGATAAAAGTTGGCAAAACCACACCATAATGAGAACAAGATGCTAGTTCTAGCATGGTATCAAGCAGGGTCTTACTGACTGTCTTGGTTAGTGTTTTGCTGACTTGACACAAACCAGAGTTATTCCAGAGGAGGAACCTCAATAGAGAAAATGCAGGCAACTCTGTGGAGCATTTTCTTATTAATGATTGGTTTGGGAGGACCCAGGTAACCTGGGGGTGGTTGCCACCCCTGGGCAGGTAGTTCTGAATTTTTGTTTGTTTTTTGGATCTTTTTTTTCTTGTTTTTTTGAGACAGGGTTTCTCTCAGTGTAGACTTTGCTGCTCTAGACTGTTTTTTTTTTTTTTTTTTTTTTTTTTTTTTTTTTTTTTTTTTT